GTTTTTCTTGAGAGAAGTTGTTTTTCGAAATCGAGTGAATCAAAAAAATGAAACATAAAACAGAAAATGAGATCAATCAAGATTGATTTGATAATGATCAAAATAATCTTTGAACATTTTTAGTTGATCAATGTCAAACGTTTCAAGTAAATTCTTTGTCAACATGCGATAAGATTCGACAATTGATGGATGATGAACTGTCAAAGCAAAATTGTACACAATTGGTTGTCGTTCATTTGGATCATTTCGACATGTTGAGCAATGAGGTAATTCGACTAAATCATTTAGATTTGTATAAAATTCACGTTTGATCGGATTAGCTGATAAACATTCACGACATGGAATCTAAAATCATCAAATTGAAAGAATTTTTTGAAGTTTAATTCAATGAAACAAATGAAATTCTTTGAGAAATTTCATGAAAAGATAATTTCTACTTTGAAACATACATATTCACCACCAAAATGAATAGCTGAATATTCAACAAAAGTCCATTGATTTCCATTTCGATCGATTGTTGAACTTATTTTGAAACCATCCAACAGAACGGGTCCTCCAGATGATCCATTTAAAAGACATTCATTTGATAAAATACATTGATTTTCAATAGTAAAATTTTTTTTAGAATCTTCAATCCATAATTGATGATTATCATCTAATTTAAATGGAGCAAGAATTCGACCATAACTAACTGTACCTATTCAAGAAAACAATTTCACAATAATGTTTAATGAGTTTTCGAATGAAGAATATCATTTAACTTGAGAATCAAAAGGAAATGAGAACACTTTAATCAATGAAATGATCTCGTCTTTAGTTTTATTCTCCAATACTACTCGTCTAACTTTCTCATTTCTATCATGAAACTTTTCAACAAAGATAGATTTCTTGATAAAAATCATTATCGATATAACAGAAACGAGTTGAAACGAGACAAGTTCAATTGATACTTATCAATCTTTGTCAAACACACTTGAAAAGGAAGAACATTTTTCTTTTAATCATTCTATCATTGATCAAAAATATTTGACCAATTTCAAAATTGACTGTCGATTGGATTTTCACCAAAAAAAAAAAGTCACTGAGAACTGAACTGAATCAATGCTCAATCGACATCAAATTCGAGTCAGAATCAACTAATTGACAATTATCGTCGCTCGAAATTTCGTTCTCACGATTTCTCAATTATCCAGAAGGACATTCTTAAAATTTTGTTTCAAATTCAATTCAAACATTGACAGAAAATCGAACAACAATAAGTCAAAAATTGATACAAAACTTAATTCAACAGAATCGATCAATGGTAGAAACCTATTTTGATCAATTCTGCATATGATTAAAGGAAACAACTTACGTTTACCAAAACCATCCATGAGATTTTCCACAATCGGAAATACAGTTGTTAAAGAATTCCGATATCGAGTGGGAGATATATCTTCTTGTCGCATTCCTAAAACAAAATCAATTGTTGATCAATTCACAGTCAATTTCGAATCAATGATTACAATAAAAAAATGTTCTTTTTTTTATTCAAGATTTTTTGTAAAGAAGAACTTTTTGTTGTTTTTTTCAAATGAAATCTTTGAATTGATCTTAACTTCAGTAGTTCTTCTAGACTATGAATATCTCTCACCTTCTAAACCTGGAAAACTGATAGTTGCTATTGCTTGACCAATTTGACCAACACGCATTGATGGAACAAATAAAACATGAGATTCAAGATGATGCATCAATGAGACAACACAATAATCTGGATAATCAAAATCATTTTGAACACCGAGAAGAGGATCCATTCTGATATGTTTGTTAAAGGCTTCAGAATTATCTGTACCATTATATTCATATTTTGATACTGTTGGATAAAATTTCTTCCATTGAGAACCTTCATCAGTATAATAAGATTTGATGATATCGAATGATGATTCAATATTAAATTCATCGATAAACATAGGAATTCTATGTCGAGGAGGATTGAGAACAAGTTGTGCCACATGATAATTGCTAGCTACACAAGTGGGTCCTACTCTATAACATGTTCCATTACCTTTACCTGATATACATCGAGCAACACCTTTTACTGCCTCCACCAGATTAATAGCATTTTCAGTGAAAAAAAACCTTTCCATCTTCAGAGATAAAAGGAGATTTCAAAGCTTCGAGAAGATTTTCAACATTTATTTCATTTGGTAATAGAAGAATATCAAGTGTTATATCAGAATTATCATCATTACTGGATAAGCAAGGTGCATTGAGAGCTGATGCAGATATATGATGACGTCCATGAAGACATATCACATCTGGTCGTTCGCGTATGAAACGCATTGTTGAAATAAAATCAATAATATTTTTTTTGCACAATATTTCTTCTGAAATAAACAACATAGAAATGAGAAAAAGTCAAAGTTTTATTCGTAAGAAAATATCAACTTCATCGACAAAATTTTCCAAATTCATTTCATAGGATTATGTATTGTATTTGATTCGACTATGATATGTTTGTTTGTTTGTTTTTTAGGTCGATTACAGACATTCTTCTCTAGCAGTAACTACTTTTTCATTGAACAGATGTGTGTTCTATTGCATCGTTTTACAACAATTATTGGTAGATGTCTCTCATTTATACTTTACTTATAGTTGTCTAAGACCTTGTTCAATAATTTTCACGAATGTTAAATTGAATACTGAAAGTCAATTGTTGAATTCGATTAACATTTCGATTAGCCTATCAATGTATTGCTTTTTCAATTTCATTTGATATCACTCTCTTTCAAGAACTTCAGATAAAATCAATAGGCAATGATGACGACAATTTTCTGTGAAAATCGACAGACAAGTTAGGAGAGTCGTTTCTGAAGTAAAATATTCAATATGGAGAGTGAGACCATTGACGAGTATTAATTCTCTTTCCATGTTAGTAAAATTTGTATTATTAATTAAGGTCCAATTCGACCTATAATTCCTAGATTCCTCTTTGTCTGTCATTCTATATTTCTTTCATATTTTGATCGATTTTCCATTTCTTTTTTATATGTTGATAGAACCTTTCAAAACTCTAAAAACTATAGGAAAATTGATTAAAATATATGGAAGATATAGGACATATTAGAGAATATAGGAATTATAGAATGCACAAAATATAGGATTGATCGGACTCTAGCTTATTAATTTTCCAGTAGTGTCAAACTTGAAAGTTGAATTCAACTATTCAACTATTAGTTCAACTATTCAATTATTGAATAGTTGAAGTTTCAACTATTCAACTATTCAACTATTTAATAATTGAATAATTGAAGTTTCAACTATTCAACTATTCAACTATTCAATAATTGAATAATTGAAGTTTCAACTATTCAACTATTCAAAGTATATGATGGTCTCCATGGTTCTCTGTCACGGTCTATGATGGTCTCTAGGGTTCTCTGCCACGGTCTATGGTGATCTCCGAGGTTCTCTGTCGTGGTCTGTGATGGTCTCTAGGGTTCTCTGTCACGGTCTATGGTGGGTCCGGAGGTTCTCTGTCACAGTCTCTGATGGTCTCCTGGATTCTCTGTCACAGTCTGTAATGGTGTCTAGGGTTCTCTGTCACGGTCTGTGATGATTTCTAGGGCTCTGTGTCACGGTCTGTAATGGTCTCCGATAGGGCTGTCAGCGTTCCCCGTTCCTGAGCGTTCCGTTCCTAGGAACGGGAACGCTTGTCAAAATCGCATTTCCGCACTTTATTTCGACATGGTGGGGTTTCTAGACATCTCCACTTTTCTTTTTATGTTTGAGTGTTCAGCGTTCCCCGTTCCTGGGAACGGGGAACGCCACCCCGTTCTCGTTCCTAGGAACGGGGAACGCAATATACATTTCTTTCACTTTTAAAAGCTTTTCGAATTCAACGAAGAAAAAGAAAATTTCATAAAAATCATGAATTTTTATAAAGTTTGACCAAAAGTAATGGAGGTTAAGGAATCTAAATCTGCAATCAGTTTCTGAAAATTTTGAGTTTGATTTCTCTTGTTAAGGAATGGGTATGTTTGAAAAATAATAGTTTTTGTAAATTTTGATTAGAGGTAATTGAGGTCTAGAAATTTGAAGCAGTAATCAGTTTCTCAAAATTTTGAGTTTACTTTTTCTTACTAAAAATATCTCTTTTTAGTAAAAAAAATTGAGTTTTTAAAGAAAAAGAAGTTTTTGCGAAAGAAAGATCGTTTATGAAATTCTTGTTATAACATTGTCGTTATAATTTCCTTTAGTACTGTTTTGCCATAGCGCTTTTTACTATTAACTATTCATTGCAATATTTTGTGTGATGCTGTTATAATGCTGGTTCGTGATTTGTTCCCTAGCAAATTATTGAATGCTAATAAAAAACTTCGACTTATCTTTTGGTGTGGAAATGAAAGAGACCCATTAAAACATATTTTGTGTTCTTATCCTAGCAGTGCTTCAAATTAACGAAGAAAAAATTTAAGTTATTGAACAGTAGTTTCCATAAAACTATTATTTAGCTTAACTGACTATAAAGAGGTTCTACAGATATAAAATCTCTTCATTTCGTTTAATCGTGATATTAAGTATAGAGAAAGCTTAATTATCAGATAAACTCAGTGCCTGATTCAAAGAGAGATATCTTTCATGATAAAAGCAACTTTGATGCAAATTAAAGATTTGGGTCGTAAAAGCTTCGTAGCGAAAACGTCAAAATAAAGCGATCGATGCTGAAGATGTCGACAGTTTAGAGTCGAAAGTAAAATTGTCGAAGCTTAAATGCAGAAACTAAAAAATATTAAGGGCACACTATATGAGCGTGCACGAATGTAGGCAATTATGAATACGATTGTATGCGAGTGTACTGGCGAAAGTTTGGATGTGAACGAGAAAGTGGGTGATTGTGTGGATTAGTGTTGGTGAAGGGAGATATAGGCAGCTAAGGATGAGTGGTGGCGTAGCTAACGAATGTGGGTGCTGATGTATCTTTTTTCTAAAGCTATACTAACATTTCCATTGAGGCAGAAAACTTCGCAACAAACAGTTTTAGAAACTCGAATGAACACGTACAATCGATAGTATAACTATCTCATTATAGTATCTAATCTCCTCAATAGTTTGCCTTTAATCGTGGCAAGAAAAAAGTTACTATTGTGTAACGAGAAGATTATTGAAGGTTAATAAAATGATGTTTCAAGTCTTTTGCTTGTCTTTCAAGTGTTGCTTGGTCAATGTAATAAGCGCTCTATTTGAGCTGACTTATGTAAGTTTTAATCTTCTGAAAAAGTAGATATTCAGAATTCTCCAGCTCAGTTTTCAACATTTTCATTTTTCTTTTACTCAATCTCATACTTTCCACATTTCTGAAAAATTCAAGATTTTACCATTTGCGTATGCAAAGATATATACAAAATAAATAATATTGATAATATCTTTGGGATATTCAATATACACTCAGGATGAAATTCGTAAAAGTTTCTCAAATATTAAGTCTCCTCAAGCATTCTTCTTCATTCTTTTATGGGAGGCTTGAGTCTTTCGGATACTAATGGCTTGGCTGTCTATAGCGCTATCCAGCATCTAGCTGAACACAATCTCGTTCAAAGAGTTTCCACTTACTAAATATAAGATCAGAACGAGATTCCTAAAATCTTTACAAATATTTGAGCCTCCCAAAACTCCCGTCCCTTTTTTTTAGGGTCGGCTCAAGTCTCCCCAAGCCTAATGGCTCCGCCGCTTCTGACTTTACTCAATAATAAGTCATATTTTTACAATTGCACCTTCCTCAAATTCTAAGATTATTGTTTCTTTATCATTTCAAAATCTTTCAAAAGTCAAGCAGACAAGATAACAAAACTTTTTATGATAAATATAAAAATACCACGGCATCATAAACATTTTCAATGCGTTGACTATTCCTCTGCATAAAAGAGTCTCTAGTAGTAATGTGTTAAAGTGTTTCAAAAAACAATACAATCATATGTGCCTGCGATCTAACATCAAAATGAATATTACTTTCAGAAAAAACCAAACATCACCTTTCTCAAATCGCGTTCTCTAATCAAACACGAGATTACGATGAGATCTATAAATTTCTTTCAAATATCTGAGCCTCCCAAGGCATAAGGGCTTCGCCGCCTCTGCGACGAATTAGAATATTAATTATCATATGTTATTGGTGTTTCTAAGTAGCAACACCAATCACATTTCTTAATTTAGCTTTATTTGTTTAGTGTGTTGAATCATATATATATATTGACCTTTCTCAGATGAAACAAATAGAGAATGTAAAAATAAATATGTTATGTTTATGTTCATGTTCATGTTCATGTATCGAATTGAATGATCTAACCGATGCAATTCTTTTGCTTATATTTGAAAAATTGGACAATTTTGATATACTTTATTCATTGCATGATGTTAATAAACGATTGAATAAAATAATACGTGATCCATTATTCACAAGTAGTCTAAACCTTGTCAAATGGTCATCGAAGAAATTTCTTAATAACTTTTCTTCGAATATCATATTTAATCGATATTGTTTACAAATTTTACCTGATATATCTATGAAAATCAAATGGTTTTACATTGAATCATCATCTGCGAAACATATTCTACGTGCTGCAGATTATCCGAACTTATATGGACTTGCCCTATATAATATGAAAGAAAAAACAGCTAGACGTCTTTTTACTGGTAAGAATATCTCAATAGAATTTTTTTTTGAATTGTAAACAAATGAAAAAACACCTTAAAGTAAATACGAATATTTTCCTGAAATTATTAATATACTTAAATAGGTGATTGAATATATGAAAGAATTTTCTCTAATTTATATTTCAATATAAACTTATCAGTGACGGATCTAGTTTTTTTATGATGTGAAGCGATTCGTTGTCACTAGGATAGAGCCCATCGGATCCAAGAATTTTTAGATCCGGACCCTGGCGGATATGGGTCCAGGTTGGACCCAATGGGCCCCTAGACTAGAGGCACTTCAGTGGAGGGGGCTAGGCACGGTTATAATCATGGAACATAGTATCAGATTATTTTTAAGACTTTTCTGCTGAGAAAAAGCGAAAATTTTTTTTTTGGGCTAGTAGCAATCGTCCCATCACCCTCTCTCCCTAATCCGCCACCGAAACTTCGA